TGCCTTGGGGGAAGGAGGGCTCTGCTTGGTGGGAAATTCTCCAAATATAGGAAAGGAATCAAAGAGGACAAACGTCTACTGCAGTGGCTTCTGGCCCCAGCCCTCTGTGGAAGCCAGCAGGACTGCAGGAGCGGAGACTCCACGGGGCAGTCATGCTGGGGCACCTGGCTGTTCCCGGCGGGAAGCAGCACTGGGCAATGCAGAGGAGCGGCAGAGTAGCCACGCGGCTGGAGGGTACCTGGGGATGGTGTCCTTGGGCTTTGCGGACCATGGAGGACCAGAGGGAGAAAGGGCATCTGCAGAGTCGATTGGCTAACACCCACAGATCCTGAAAGGAGCATCTCTGAATGATGCCTGCGGAGAGGAACCGTGCCTGTAGCCCTTCTCAGTTTCATCAGACAAGAGCATCCCAAGGATGGCTGGCTTCCAGGCATCTGCTCATCCTCCAGCAGGACTGACCCCCACTTGAGCCGGGGCGCTTCGCTCAGCTCATCTTGCCTACATGGGGTAGACATCCCCACGACAGTTTCCAAGCCCTCCTGGAAGGCTTCTTATCCTCTACCTTCAAAACAGAGAGGGGGTTCTGGCCACCCAGGGAGATGGTGGCAGTCATGGAGTGGACACGATGCCACCCACCCAGCATCTGTACTTGGGTGGATCTCAGCAAAATCAACTGGAGATTCTATTCACAGATTGTTGGACCCCTGCCACCTCCTCTCAGGTTGGGACAGTGGTCAAAGTTACCTCTAGTTTGGGACTGTCCAATTTATAACTCTTACATTTATAAAATAAAATTAACGCACAAAAAAAATCTAATGGTTGGCAGTTGCCATATCTCGTAGGAATGTTTTCAGTTGCAGGGAACAGAAAACACATACAAAGCTTTAAACAAATAGGGGTTTAAGTTCCCATGTAACAGGTGGGTCTGGGGGTGGCAGTTACTACTGTTGGTTCAGAAGCTCAAGGATATAAAAGGTATCATTTTTGTAATTCAAAGGGCTTTTCCCTCATGGTCATTGCAATGGACGATTTGTGCACCCCCAACTTCATATAGTAAAACCTTAATCCAGATGTGATGATATTAAAAGGTGGGGCCTTTGGGAGTAATTAGGTAATGAGGGGAGGGGCTTAATAAATGGGATTAATGCCCTTATAAGGAGAGGTCAGGAATTAGCTAGTTCTCTTTCTGCCATATGAGGATACAATGGGAAGTCAGCAGTCTGTACTGCGAAGAGAGCTCTCCCCAGAACCAGACGATGCTGGCACCCTGATCGTGGACTTTCAGCCTCCAGAATGATGAGAAATATATTCCTGTTGTTTCTAAGCCACCTCGTCTATAGGACCTTGTGATAGCAGCTCAAACTGATTGAAGTAATCCTAATATGGCTGATCGCAATAGCTCCAGGCATCATGGTTGCGTTCCAGCTGGAGGAGAGTATCAAAGGGACAACTACATTTGTGTCTTTCATGAGGAAAGCAAAAGTGTTCGCAGGAGTCCTAGTAGATTGTCATTTATGGTTCATCAGCCACACCATGTCCCATGGTCCCCTATAACTGCAGGGGAGCCTGGGAAATATTTACCATTTCCTGCATATATAGGAGAGGTAGGCAAAGAGGAAAGCGATTGAAATGTGGGTGGGTTAGCCAACCAACAGTAACTTCTTCCATTGCTGAGTTTGATAACTTGCATTCATATTGAGTTGTGAACTGCTAATTCCTTGACTGTCTATTGATGCTTGCTGGCCCACAGCTTAGGACAGGCAACAAAAGTTTCCCCCCAAATTACGGAAGTAAGATAGTTAATAAAATTCTACCCAGTAATCTATTTTTTAAAAGTACAATTAGAGGGGCACTTGGCTGGCTTAGTTGGAAGAGCATGTGACTCTTGATCTAGGGGTCGTGAGTTCAAGCCCCACGTTAGGTGGAGAGAGTACTAAAAAAATAAAAACAAAATTAGAATAAGTTATTATTATATGATTTTAGTGACAAAATCAATTTCATAGAATGCTACACTGTTGACAGAACACTGTAAAGCTGTGTGATTTTGAAAATCAGACCCAGAGAAGGAAATGTATGATTTTTAAGTCTTTAAATATATTATAAAACACAGTACAGAAAAAATAGTTGATTCCTAGTCCTGTCTCAGTCAGTAAATAACTATATAGCCTCTGGTAAGTAGGTCTTTTTCTTTTCCATAAAGTCATCATCTTTTCTACAAAATGAAACCATAATTGACACTGGTTGTCAGATTTGAAAATTTACAATTCTATGTAATTAGTCCTGATGTCTTTGATTCTATGTGGCTGGACAATAAAGAAATCACCATGTGTTCATTCATTTGGTCTTCTTGAATTCAAGAACTATTTTTTGAGCACCTACTGTGCACTGGGCATCAGCGGCACCAAGGATGAATCTCCAATTTAACTGAGAGTTTTAGTCTGAGATTTACTTTAAAATGTTTTAGGAAAAGAAAGAAATTGGGCATTTTTTTTTTTTCCTGAAACAGGTTAGCCTAATTCCTTCCATGGTAGGATCATTTTTGGCTCTGGTCAGAGCAGGCAGGATCTAAGGAACCTGCAGTCTCCTCCAGCTTAAGCATCTTCCTAGCTACTCTGTCATCTCACTCAAGATTGCCATCCCTGCGTCGACTCCATCTCCAGAAGGTCAAGTTTGAGTACGGCTGTGGGAGAGCAGTGGAGAGCTGGCTGAGACAGCTACCTGCCCAATAACTAGTGACTGCGGGAATCAATCTAGAATATTAGTCAGGAAGCCAAGAGGGGGTTCTCAGAGGGTGGTGTCCAGGGCAGGAAGTCCTGGACCAGAATGGCTGGGGAAGATCTGGGACCCAGGGCAGACCCAAGAAAGTCTGCTCTAGCTTAAGGATCTTGAACAACAAACACTGCTCTGGGAGCAAAGAATTTTTAGCAGGAAGAGTAGACCAAAGACAAATTTTGTCTGAGATGACATGGACCAAAGAACTATAGGACTGTATTGACTATATCAGCCCTGGCTTTCTTTCTGAAACCAGCCAGATCTGCACTGGTGTGCCACCATCTTGGAAGTGTCCATTTCTTCCTCCCACCTACCTCCTCACCTTCCCTACCTTCTGTCATCTCATTATAGTCTAGAGGTTAGGTACCAGGTTGGGCCAAATTTCCAGTGCTCACAAAATCATTCTACTCTTCTGGTAATGTGACTTTGGGCAAGTCACTTCATCTCTCTTTGTGTCTCCTCTGTAATATGGGAACAATGTGATAATGGCCAAGTTTAGAAGTTTGTTTTTTTTTTTTAAAGACTTACTTATTTGAGAGAACAAGAGAGTGAGAGAGAGTGTGTGTGTGAGAGTGCGAGAACACAAGCAGGAGGGGCAGAGGGAGAGGGAGAGAGAATCTCAAGTAGATTCCGCACTGAGCGTGGAGCCAGACATTGAGTTCGATTGATCTCACAGTCCAGAGATCACAACCCCAGAGGAAACCAAGAGTCAGACTTTCACCAACTGTGCCACCTGGGCACCCCTAGAAGGTGTTTTAAGATAAAATGACTTAATGCATAATAATCACCTAGAAAAGTTCAAGCTCTCATTTCCCCTTCTCAGACCTACCATATAGGGGCACCCTTTTTCCCTGGGGTTGTCTTCCCTGGCCAAGCTGACTTTTCACCTCTATTAAAAGAGTAACTTTTTCTTTGAGGGCCTAGTCCTAAGTTCTTCTAAGGTGATTAATAGGGTGCACAATTAACTCTGACATATGCTAATGAGAGAGGATGAAGACACTGTGCAGTCCCTGAGAACAGGGGAAGATGGAACTCAGCTACCCCAAGTCCTAGGTCAGCATTGTCCTTAGGCTAACAGGCAGAGCATCACGTGACAGAGGTCAGTTGTAGGCAAAGCTACACAAATTGCCAGAAAATCAGACGGTTAAAATGTCATTTCTTTCTGCTCACTATTGTTGTAAACCTAAAACTGCTCTAAAGAATAAAGTTTATTAATTAGTAATAAAAAGATAGAACTACAGGGCATCTGGCTGGCTCAGTTGGTAGAGCATGCTACTCTTGATCTTGGGTTGTAAGTTTGAGCCCCACGCTAGGTGTAGAGATGCTTAAAAATGAAATCTTAAAAAAAAAGAACCAAAAGACACAGGTCGTTTCTAACTTTCTTAGTTTCTGAAGAGTGTTTAGAGTGTACAGTGCTTGAGGAATTTTTTTTCCTAGTAAGAATTTGACCATCCGTATTTAGTAGCCCTTATGAGCAGATGTAATCCTTTTCTCCCCAAGGAGATTTGGGGCTGGTCTTCTAGAATTTATAGTCTAGGTGAACTGTACTGCTTAATTGGCCACCAGTCCTACCGGCTATTGAACATTTGAGATGTGGCTAGTCCGAATTGAAATGTGTTGGTAGTGTAAGATATAAATAAGATTGCGAGGACTAAGTACGATTTTTGAACGAAAACTATCTCATGAATAATTTTTTATGTTGATTTGTAGAAACAATTTTTGGATATATTGGATTAAATGAACATATTATTACAATTAATTAATTTCACCAGTTCCTTTCTACTTTTTAAAATGTGGCTTCTAGAAAATATGGCAAACATATTTCTAATGGACAGGGCTAGTCCCAGTTGAGAGAGGAGAGATTGCAGATATGAAATACTTATATTTTTCCTTTGTAAAGTCCTTTAAGGCAAGGCTTGTTCTGACAGGCAGATAGTATTTAGGAAATATCTTTTGTCACCTCCAGGTTAAGACTCAAGGTTAAAACTGCCCCTTGAGTTCGAAGCTGAAGGATCAGCTGTGAAGGTAGGTACTCGACAAGGAGACAGTGGGAGAAGCCAAAGCATGACTCGAGACTCTGGAAAGATGTGCGGATTAAGTTCCGTTTTGAAAATTTTTCTCCCGAAGCTAGAAACACACAGATTTGGGCATTTAAACAATTCCAAATCAGTGGGCGTGGCTAGTGCGAGAAGTCACCCGCGGCTGAGCGCCAAGAGAAACCTGGCGGGGAACAGGCGAGAGGCGGCGGCTGCGGCTCCGTGGCCCGGGTCGGCTCCCCGCGGGAGCGCGGGCCAGAGGGGGCGCCCGAGCGCCGGGAGCCCGAGGAGCGAGCCGGTCCAGGCGGAGCACTGCTCGTCGCCGCGGCAACGGCGTGAGCCGCAAACAGCCGCGCCCGCCGGCCGACCCGCGACCAGAGCGGACGCCCGCGAGCGGCGCGGCGGGGAACGGCGGAGGCAGAGCGGCGGGGGCCAGCACCGGCCGGCCGTCCTCGCCCGCCGCGTGTCCCCGAGGGGCGCCGGAGCGCAGCGCGATGGAACAACCGGTAGGGTGCGCGCTCCGTCGGCGCTCCGTCCGCGCGGCTCCCGCGCCTGCCGACCCCGCGGCGCATGCGCGGCGCTGTGCCGCCGGAGCCCCGCGCGGCGGCTGCGGGGTGCGCGGGGCCGCGGGGCCGCGGGCTTTGGCTCTGGGCTTCAGCTTCTGGGCGGGGTCCTGAACTTGCGGGGTTTTCAGGAACTTGGAGGGCCGGAGTTGCTGGGTTTTGAGTTTGGCAGCGTTTCCCAGGCGTGGTGGGCCGTTATATCCACCGGGGCACTCATAACATGCAAAAGCCGTGGGTTCAGGGAGTACCTCTTTCCTGTATCTTCAGCTTGCTCTTTCCCCCTCCCTCTTGCGGTGGGAAGGTCACTTGGAGGTCAGTGACGTGGCCCCGAGCAACCCGCTGTCCCATTGCGAGCATCAAAGATATCCAGGTGTGGCGGAGGCTGCTTTTGTGTCAAGTTTGTTGGCTGTTACTAGCTCTCATTGGCCCTTGGGTTTGCACAACAGCGAATGTTCTGTTCCCTTGGAGTTGGGGAGAGGCAGAGAGAGAGGGATGGTGTGCAGAGAAAGCCCCATTAGGTGGTTTCCTTGTGCCTTTTACGTGTATTAGCCTTGGTGCACAGCAGGTGAGAAAGGGCTGGAGACGTATGTGCATTTAAATCAGCTTTCACATAAAAAGGCTTTGTGTTCTTTCTCTCTCCCTTAAATGAATATTGTTAAGTGAAAAAAAACCCCTGGTACTTGTTTTTGCATTTACCTTCAAGGGAGATTGTGTTCATATGTATTTTTCATTTACACTGCCTGTAGATCTATAACTAGAGCAATCTATTAATGCTAATCATAAAATATGCGCCCTAATCAATAAAATATGCACCATGATGAGTGTAAATGTATACTTATTTAATTAAGAGCAATGTGTGTAGTTTATGAGAGTAATATTTTAATGTTTTCCTCCTCTCTGTCAGTGTTTACCTTACTCAGAATTAGCGGTTTTATTCCTGTGAGCATCTTGTTATGGTATTCATATTAGTGTTCTTATTTTCATATGATTTATATATCATAAATATTGGAATTTCCAATATATCTACTTTGTGTTCATTAAGACAAATTCTCACTAGTTCTTTTTAGTCTTTTTACTGACTTTCCCCCCATTTTCTGTAAAAGAAAAGAGGGACCTTGAAATGACAGATGGCATTGCTATACGTAATACCAATAAACCAATGACTTTTGTTGCCTCTTAGTTTTAAAAAAATTCATATATTACAAAATCTTACATAAATTTATCAAGTTTTATCCTCTCTGGATATAAAGCATAGCTATTAACCTTCTATCATGTTCTTATGATTTATTAATTATGCTTTTAATATTGAAAAGATTAGGTCACTCAAGCAATATTGTTCCAACTTTTAAAAAAATATTTGAGAGAGAGAGCGCGAGTGAGAAAGAGCACAAGCAGGGTGAAGGGCAGAGGGAGAAGCAAGACTTCCCGCTGAGCAGGGAGCCCAATGTGGGACCTGATCCCAGGACCACGGGATCATGACCTGAGCCTAAGGCAGACACTTAACCAACTGAGCCACCCAGGCACCCAATATTGTTCCAATTTTATAAAAATAAAAAGAGGTATGTAAATATGTATAGAAAACAGAGTGAAAGGACACACACCAAAATATTGATACTGATTATCTCTGGCTGGTGGCATTGAAGAAGAATTTAAGTTTTCTTTAAACATTTTCCATAATGAACATACATATAATAAATATGTAAATATTCACACATTTAAATATAAATAATTGTATATTTAAATATATAAAATGACACATTTAAATATAGATATATTGCTAATTACAAATTATAAATATTTATATTTATATGAATTTTGTAGTTAGAAAAAATTATAAGGAATAATGCTCCTTAAACATTTACACAACTTTCTTCTCCTGAGACAAACTTAGCATTCCTTTGGTAAATATTCCCGTTTTCAGTTCACAGGGGTCACCTTGTAAACACTACTTTGCAACTTGTGCTCTCTCTCCCAGCTAAGTGAGCAGCCTGGATTTTATGTAAATTAGAAATGGAAGGTGGTAAATGAGCATGCCCAGATCATGTGTGAAGAGCAGCAAGAATGAAACAAATGTGTGGCTCTGTTAAGTCCTAAACACTTTTCTTACCCCTCATCAAGGCAGCTTATTGCCCTAAGCCCAGGCTGATGTGGAAAGGATTTTTAGCAGCCATAATAATTTATCGTGGAAGCTGCAAATACGTCTATTATGGAGACAAATAGACGTAGAGGCAAAGTATAAGGCATACAAATTGTTACATCTGTGAAATGTGACTCCTAAGGAACCTTAAATTCCAGGGGGGAAGGCAGGGATCCCCTGCTTTTCTCCCAGGTCCAGGTAAGGGCAAGTCTGAGGCTAGTATCAGTGGTAGAAAAAAAACTGCTAGGAGTATGGATATTTCGAGGAATTGGTCCCCGCTGATAAGGAATGCTAGGAGGAAGTTTACCTGTTACATTTTCTCCTGTCGTCATGCTAAGCTCTTTCCTGGCACTGAGCTCTGTGGCTGTTTATTTATACCTCTCTGCTGTTTGCATTTGGCTTTACTGTTTGTAGCCTTCCTTTTAGCAAACCAAAAAAAAAAAAAAAAAAAAAAGGCTAAAACAACTGCTCACTTATTACTTTGTTTAGGAATAAAAGCCAGTAGCTTCAGCTCAAGAGTAGATGGCCCGTTGAGGCTCTTCTGGCGTCCTTGACTGTTGCGTTATTGTCCTGCCAGGAGACTAGCGTTGAAGACAGTGTGTGGATGGATTTGATGGTGTGGAATCTGCTGACAGAAAGCTTCCTTTTCACATTTACTCCCCAGAACAGATGCTTTGAGGGAGGCTGGGGTTGGGGAGGTGGTGTCTGAAGGTGCTTGAGCAGTTCGGTTCTATTCTATGAGCACTTCTTGAGGTACCTGTGTTTCGAGCACCGTGGGGCGAGTGCTGGGGAATAGGACCTTTGCTTCCTTCCTCCACGTCTCCTTCCCTTCCTTTCTTCCTTCCTCTCTTTTGCCTGTCTCCTCCTTTCTTCCTTGCAGTCCTTCCTTACCTCCCTCCCCACCTCTTGCTTCTTTCCTTCTGCCATTTGTGTTGAGTGCTTTTGGCATGCCCTTTTCTCGAATTCCCCTTGACGATTCTGGAGCTCCCCCAACACTCACTACACAACTAATGACATTTTCCCCCTTTTCTTGTGGGGACCAAATGAGATGAGCAAATCGTGACCATTGCCTGCTGCTTTGGAGTGACTTACAGTAAGCTCGGTAGGTCTGTGTGGCAGGATATGGATTATAACCTACTGAGAAAGGAGAGAGGACGTGTGACACGTGTCAGATTCCTGGAAGGAATCTGGCCAACAGCTATGCTATTTTAATACGTCCCTTTAGAAAAAACCTGCCATTGTACCTACCCTGGATGGGGTAATAGAATATGATTGGCTTCCCATGGACCAACATTTCTGCCTCCAAGGAGGTAATACGTAGAGTTCAGAACGTCTTTCTTTTTGGCAGCGGCTTCCAGATAGGGCCAATAGGGCTTGGCTGTGGGACGTGGGCTAAGGCCCCTGTGCCCACTCCCATGGAAATGGTTGTAGGCTTCCTTGGAATGCTTGGACATTGAGGAAAGTAAAACAGTCGTATTCGTGGAGGGCTGAATGCTGGGTGGGCAACTTCTGAAATTGTTTCGCCTATTTGGGGTAAAGAATGGAAGGTGTGAAGCATTGGTGGCCTGAAATGTCCACATTATTGTCCATTACAAAGAAACACAGGAAAGCCTAGCTCAGAGGAAGCAGTCATCACCGACTCTGGCAATGTTTCCCAAAAGAGGGTCGACTAAGTGGCATGAACTGCGATGGGGCCCGGGGAGACGTCAGGGAACAGGCAGACCAGAGTCCTTGCCGGTGTGTGAAGCTGATAGCCCAGTGGGGAAGATGAAGATGGTGTGAGAGGGCACACAAGGGGGCCAGCGAGAGGTGGGAGGGGTCAGGAGGACAGAGCTCTCCGGCCAGAGGAGAGGGCCCCTGAGGACCAGAGCCCCATTGCCAAGGGGTCATGGAAGCCAGCATGGAGGAGGCAGGAGGGAGTGCTGCATTGGTGGAGACCGAGCTTTTATTTTATTTTATTTATTTATTTATTTTTTAAAGATTTTATTTATTTATTTGACAGAGAGAGACATAGTGAGAGAGGGAACACCAAGCAGGGGGAGTAGGAGAGGGAGAAACAGACTTCCCTGCGGAGCAGGGAGCCCGATGTGGGGCTCAATCCCAGGACCCCGGGACCATGACCCGAGCCGAAGGCAGACGCTTAACGACTGAGCCACCCAGGTGCCCCAAGACCAAGCTTTTAAAAAGATCATTAAGGTCAAATGAAGTCAAGTATGTGGGCCCTAATCCGATGTGATCCGCATCCTTATAAGAAGAGCACATTAAGACACAGACGCTAAGAGACCTCGGGAGGACATGGTGAGGAGGCGGCCGCCTGCAAGCCAAGGAGAGAGGCCTCAGAAGAAACCAGATCTGCCGACAGCTTCATCTTGGACTTTTAGACCCTGTAACTGTGAGAAAATCAATTTCTGTTAAGCCTCCCTGTCTGTGGTGTTTCGTTATGGTAGCCTGAGTGAATGTACGGTGTGCTAAACGGCTTGCACAAATTATCTCAGTTAATCCCAGTTACAGCATGGTGAGGTAGCTGCGGTCATGATCTTCATCTTAACAGATGACAGCGTGGATGCTGCAAGAGAGCCATCTCATTGGGAAGACGGCCGTGCCCAACACGGGTGAGAATCCTACGCAAATTGAAATGAAAACCCGCTCGGCCCAGAACGCCTGCAGCTGTCACGGCCGCACAGCTCAGGGGCGTCAGTGGGAGGGGGCAAACCTGCCCCGGCCTCCGTCGGCCACTCGGAGCTGCCTGATGACAGTCCTTGGACGGGGAGCTCCCGGAACGTGGTCAGTGTAGCTGCATCGACCC